GTCTCCTTACCTGAGACTCCAATCTCTTCCCGCTTAACCTGCATGTCCTGCGGTTGTGACAGCTACTGGGTCAGCTGGGATTGCCATCACTGAGATGGTCACATGACATTGTGCTTTATGACTGCATTGATAGGTAGTTAAATTCATAAGTCACACACCCTCAATTCTAAAATTGAGTTGAACAATAGTCAGAACAATCTTCACTAGCCAGGCATTATCCACCTCACTGTTGCTAAAATAGAGTTCCTGTATAGAAACTGCAAATTTGAACAGAGGAATGATGGAATGTTGCCTTCCCAAAATCTTCCAACTGTTTCTTCACCCATGGAGAAACAGGATGGAATCCTACCTTTTGGAAGGTTCCAAATTCTATAGTCAGTGAATGAAAAACTAGCGGTTCTCTATTGGTACTAAGAATTTTTTGGGTATAACTCTCACTTGAGAATCACTTGGCTGAAAAAAAAATGCAGTAATTTTATCATAAATACATATTTAATACCAAATTTATTTTAGTTTAGATTTTATATCATTTGAGAACTTTGGTGACCTACAGTTTCCATGGTAAAAGTGCTGAATATTTAGTAAATATGCCCATATAGCAGTACTTTAGTGACTCTTTATGAAATTTTATAGCTGTTTTCAAGACCTTATATTTTTCAAAACAAATATATTGCAACAGGCACAGGAAGCAAGCTGTGAAAAATTGAAGGAAAAATGGTAGGACATAGATTAGGAAGACTCAGGTTCAAAATCCCACTCTACATGGAATTCATTGGGCGATTTGGGGCCAATCATTTCTTTCAGCACAATCTACCTCACAGGGTTGTTCATGGGATATTATGAAATGTGATCCTTGCACTTTGGCTTGAGTTCCCAGAGAAAAGGCAGGGTATAAAGGCAATAAATAAATGCATAAACGGGATAATAAACAGATCTGACAAAATGACATGATGATAATGTACATGACTTTAACAACTTGGACATGTTCTCAAAAGTTCCTTTCCAGAGATTTCGAAGTATAATTTGCAAAGTCATATTGAGCAAAATAGTCCATATATTTAACATAAAGGTATATATGATTCTAACATTAGAAATGTAAACTAATGGTATCTTGCAACTTATTTCATCAGTTCAACCATTCCTATGATTTTAGAAAGTACACAAAATATAGACATGAGAAATAAAACCTCTAAGATGACCATATAGTACTTTACACATAAATTTCCAACACATAAGCATCTACAAGATACATTTCCATAACAGAAATGTAATTTGTGTTACACAGATATTACAGCACTCGCTTATCTACAACCAGGGCAAAATTCCAAGGCACAAATTCAGTGCTGTCATGGCTGCATTTGAACACAATTTGATATGATGAGAACAATGTCCTGGATTTGCATATTTCCTTTTCCTCCCTCACAACCCTGGCCAATCATTTATTTCAGCACAATCTACCTCACAGGGTTGTTCATGGGATATTATGAAATGTGATCCTTGCACTTTGGCTTGAGCTCCCAGAGAAAAGGCAGGGTATAAATCGAGGACTACCTCTATGTCAGAATGAAATCCCTTTGAAAAAAATTCTCTAAACATTTTGTAATAATATCTAAGTTTAATATAATGGACTTAAGTGTTTAAAGAACTTCATACTCAGACCAACTCTTAATGCCAATTAAGAGTATTTTAATTCTCAGTATTTATGCCTTATCATCTGACAATTTATGCAATCAGCTAATTCTTGATCATACTGTACATCATTGTCACTTGCATTCACTAAGTATTCTTTTACAGTTTGTAACAATTCTTTGATTTTTACATTAGTCTTGACCGTAATATTTTATATGATTCCTTGATTTTGTTCAGTCCTTGAGACTAAACAAGGAAATTATGTATAGCATTGCTTCCAATGTTCTGCCGGGTTTGATTGCTGCAATTAAGTTCAATTTCTAGTTAAAGTTCAACTAAATAATTTCAGTTTATGCTGGTACTGCTGCTCCTACTGGCCAAGTCTGGCTGGGGCAATGGGGGAAAAGAGCAGTTACTTAAGATCCCATTCAATTACTACTGCAAGTGGCTTGTCTGCAAGACTGTTCTCAACTGTATGCCCAGTAGATCTTTTTAAAAAAACAAGTTCTTTGGTGTGGGGTTGAGTTTTACATTACTGTATGCTTTCTTCTGAAAACTATATCCATTAGATAAATGCAAAAGTATGTGTACATGTAATTTTTGCACCACATGCGTATTAATATGCTGATGAAGTTGCAGGTTATAAGTTGGAAATGCAAATCAGTTTTTTAATTAAAAACACAGCAAAACTCCAAGACACTAGTGACTTTCGGTATAAAACATGCTTGGTTTTCATGAGAACTTGACTTCAGTGAATATATTAAATAAAATTCTAGTAACCAAACTGAACTGAAACCTGAGATTTTTCACTTCTTTTTGGTCTTTGACTTTCTTATAAATTTCAAATAAAGAAATTAAGTTGCAAGTAAGCTAAATTACAACCTGGAGAATATTACTAGAGGAACAGAGGTAAAGACTGCATTCTATTATCTAATCTCCTATGGTGAGAATATTGTTGGCGCATCATCAGCCCAAATGGTATCACTTAATAGTAAACTTCTCAGGGCGGCTTACAATGCGTTAAGCAATAGCCTTCATACTTTTGTATATTTATACAAAGTCAGCTTATTGCCCCCACAAACTGGGTCCTCATTTAACCTACCTTAGAAAGGATGGAAGGCTGAGTCAACCTTGAGCCTGGTACGATTCGAACCTGCAGTAATTGCAGGCAGCTGTGTTAATAACAGGGTGCTTTAAACCACTGTACAGAGGGACATCTGTGTATAACATTATGTAATGATCTGAGAATTTGAGTATGAGTTACTACTGCATTTGTTCATTCCTTACCTTAGTTAAAAAATAACTTCTTTTGAGCAAATGGAATTAGGGGGTTGTTTGCTGTCAAATATCTGTTGTTCTAAAATAATCCTTATATATACGAAACATGAAAATCCAGTTTGATTCCATCACGCTTCCTTAGAAAAATAATGGCGTGGGTGTCACTGGTAAGTGTGTTGGTGTATGTCCATGTGGAATATAAAGTGGTTTCAGATACTTACTATAAAAATATAGTAAAAGAATCTCTATTAAATGTGGCAAATCAATACAATAAGTATAAAAAATGTAACGTGAGAACAGGAATAAAATAATTGCAACGTGAGCTCTTTTTCAAGGATTTACCTCATTTATACCCATTACTGTAGCTTCTGACTTTTGTTTAACTTATGCACATCATGTCTGAAAAAATCAAAATTTTGCATGCACTCTGAAAACTTTTTCTCAAGCTATTAGAAATAGAAAACACCTGCTCTGCTGTATATGCTACATTCATGTAAATAAAAAGCCTACACATGCTGTTAAAACGTGATTAATAAGGCTTTGTACAGGTTATTATCATGCATCCTTAGTATTCAGTTTTTTCAAGTCTAGACATTTCACTTCTGTGATCTTTGCTTCCTCTAAGCCACACATACATAAACATCCAGGAAAAGGAGAAAGTAAAAATATATCTGTGAGAAAAGCCCTTTATATACTAAGATCTCATGGACTGCCTACAATACCACAAGTATTTTGTTTTGTGTTGTTTGGATGCATACTATAACGCAGGAGAGTCTCCTTGATTGTGGCAGGGAAAATTCAATAAATGAATAAATTAGTGTGTGTGAGGCAGATTCATGTCGAGGTCTAGATCATGCAAGTATTATTCCTCCTCATTTATATTACACTTTCAATTCATTTCGGCCTCTCAGAGAATGGTTGTATATAAAGTAGATTCTTCAACATGGTACCCTCCAGATATGCTGAGATTTCCAACTTCTGGTCAGCAAAGCAGTGCATCCACTTCTTTACAAAGCCAATTGTACAATAAAATTGTTTATAAGATCCCCTGAGGCCTTATTCATAAAAATAAAAAAGAAATAGTGACGAGAATGTCTACCCAGGTCTGCAACCTAAATTCACCCCAAGAATTAGCTTTGACCTGAAGGCAATTCACATTCCTACATGCCAGTCTACAATCCTAAACTCTTAGGATGGTAAAACAGTCATAAAGTATACATGCAGTTTAGGCATACTTTTTAAAGAGCGCAAATATAAAACAAAGTCATCTGAAGTCCAACACCCACTTGTGACTAAATAAGATTGGCTTGTTTTAAAGCATGTATGACACTGAATTTAAGAACACCAAGTGTGCAACATTAAAATCTATACGGCTAAGAAATGTTTGGTTAGGATTTACAGCTTGCATTTCTTTCACCAAAATCTTTAATAATAATAACAATAACAATAACAACAACAACAACAACAACAACAACAACAATTCCTAGGTCCTTGGTTAAGACTCGAGCTGCTGAGCTATTAACCAGCCTCAAAGGTTGTGAATCTCACTAAAAATTAAATAATAATAATAATAATAATAATAATAATAATAATAATAATCATGCTCTTACAATTCTGAGTATTCATTTATCGAAGTGAAACATTTCAGAACATAAAAGCGGAATCAGCAAAAAACTATCAAAACACATCAACATCCTGTTCATTTCCTAACCGATTCACATTTTTTTTTTTTTAAGAATGAATTCAAGGAACACCTGGTAGTGTAGTATTGCGCTTTAGGCTAAAAATAACAGAGGTCATTCACACCCTTTTCGACTTTAATAATAAACCGAAACCATTCTAGAAACCATTTTTGGAAGGCTGCATCTTGAAACCGATACTCACCCCCATTGGATTGTGGACAGAGTTAAAACCCACAGAGTACAAACATGCATCTAATACGGTAAAAGAGGCTGGGAAGAGTGGAGAAGAGAAGCGGGAAAAGAAACCAGAGGTTTAGAAATATCTGGCAGCAGGACCGCAAAATGTCATCTTTTCGCACCAGCCTCCCTTTTCCCTCCCCAACTCTGCAATCATCTCGGCTAGATTCTCACCACAACGTGAGCCCCGGATAACGACAGCGGCTTGGGATGGTTGAGCGGCGACAATAGGTAGAGCAGCAGCAGAAAGGCCACAAAGAGAGCGACTCCCGTGGCCGCCACTAGCAGAACCGTGCCCGGCATCACTGCGCCCCGAACGCCACAGACTCGACTGACGCACGTTCCTCTTCCCCCACCAGCCACCGCCGTGCCGCGACCGCCGGGCGACCGAGTGACCCGGTTCAGCCAACCAAGGCTTCTTTTTCAAGGAAACGAACCCCAGGACCAGGGGGACGGGAAGAAAACTAGAGCTGCTCTCTCATTGGGAAGGAGACCGAAAGGAAGTCCTGATTGGCTGCCTGTGTGGCGGGGGGGCGGGAATAGGAACGGAGCGCGATGACATATCCGCACGAGATTGGGCACGACGAAGGAGAGCGGGCTTGTGAAAGGTTGGCACGCGCGGGTGGGGAGGGGAGAAGACGGCGGCAGCGGAGGGTTCGCCCGCTTATTGTTTTGTGTGTTTGGCTCCCATTCCCGCCGGCGCCGCTGGAGGAGAAGGAGGAGAGGAGAAGCAGATGGAGGAAACCCGGCGGCAGTGGCGCAGCTGATCTTTCGCATTGCAAACAGGGCGACGAAGCGGCCCCTCGTCCTTTCTATGCCTACAAAAATCATTCCTCTAGAATGGGACCAATTCCTAAATTCAGATATGCTCTTAGGATCATTGCCTTAAATAACTCCACAAAACATTTTCCCAAAGGTGCTTTTCCCCCCGCCCCCAGGAGGCAACTGGACTTTCTTGCGTTTTTTGTCTTTGAAGACGTTTCGCTTTTCATCCAGGAAGCTTCTTCAGCTCTGACTGGATGGTGGGGAATGGAAGGATTTTTTATTCCTTGCAGACAGCTGGTCAGAGCTGAAGAAGCTTCTTGAGGAAGCCATGACTACTTTTGAGGAAGGATAGGATATATGTATTGTAAATAAATAAAAGCTGGAATTAATCCAAATCCAAATGTCTTAAATTGTACTTGCTTTGGTCTAGCTGAAATATCAACCACTTACAGTATTTATTGAAATAAGTCTGGTATGTGTGAAGGGAAACAATAATAAGGATATAATAAATAATACTAGAATATGATATACTGGTATACTAGATTCTGTAACCATTAGGTTCCTGTAATACATATATGCCTTTGTATTTGTATCACATATATTATGCCTTTATATTTGTATCTCCTGTAACAAACATATTATGTTATTAGGCCTCTAATGTATCTGTTATTTGTCAAACGTATGTCCCTGCCATTTGACCTGAACTCATATCAATCTATCTAAAAGCATGGTACGTATCTCAGTTGGAACTACAGCCATCAACAAAGGGATAATTTACACCTCAGCCCTAATTTATGTTTGATCTGGATAAACTCTTGCTTTCCAGAGCCAGGGGGCCAAAGTGGCCAATTGAGTAAACAAAGAAATGCTCAAGATTACTAATTGGGAAGTTTCTATTCCCCCTTGCAGGGCAACAAGGAATACACAAACCTAAATTAGGAGGCCAGAATTGGGTACTAAGCTGATGTCTCTGAGGATATAAAAGGACGCCATACCTTCCCCAAGGTGTGGCTATCTCCTCGCATGCATTGTATCTGTATGTTCTGGATATAGTTCCACCCAGTATTTTGTTTTTGGCCATAAATAAAATCTGGTGGTTTTTTTTGCAAGCCTTGTCTTGAGTCTCTCTCTTTGGCATTCTGGTGACTCAAGTGTATTTTGGGACCTTACATTTCCTTAAGAAATCCAGTTTCACAAGCCTATGTTTTTTTGAGTCCATATTATTTTTGCCTTGGTGAAGAGTGTGGAATTTTGAAAATGTGGTGAGCCTTCTTCCTGAATGACTCCTAGAGGCTAATTTGCCCAAATTATCTGACAGAAGTTACAAAGTTATACCAGAATTCTATTTGCTAGCCTCTTCCTACTACCCAGGTTTATGATTATATTTCCAGATAAGGGGACAAACAAGCAAAAAAGCACTGGACTGTTACATGATTATTTATATGTATAAGCATATTTATATTTTTAATAAGTTTTATGATCTATAATACTTGGAGGTGAAATGAATTGGAAATAAAAGCCATGCTGGTCACTTTCAGCAATGCAGGATTTCATTTTGGGGAATGGGATTGGGGTGGGGAAAGTCATTTATGCCAGAAAGCCCGTCAGGAATCAAGGGAATATTAATATTCCCAGATGCTATGTTAGGGGCCTGGCTCTAAAATTTCTCACATATTTTATGTTGTATGCACTACAGGTAGCCCTTGACTTGCAGCCATTCATTTAGTGACCATTTGAAGTTACAGCGGCACTGAAAAAAGTGAGGTATGACCATTTTTCACACAATTGTAGCATTGCCATGGGCATGTGATCAAAATTCAGATACTTGGCAACTGGCATGTATCAGTGATTACAGCGTGCTGGGACTATGTGATCACTTTTTGCGACCATCTCACAAGCAAGTTAATGGGGAAGCCAGATTCACTTAACAACCATGTCACTACTTTAACAAATACTTAACAAATTTACTTAAGAACTGTGGCAATAAAAGTTGTAAAATGGGGCAAAATTCACTTAACAAATGTTTCACTTAGCAACAAATTTTGAGCTAAATTGTGGTCGTAATTCAAGGACTGCCTGTACTGAGAAAATCTAAACGTGGTTTTTAAAATGACAACCACAGGTTGCAAGAATAATATGGAATTAAGTTGATACACTGGACATTCAAGTGAAACTGGTTGAAATCTTAGTAATTAAAGGGATTAAATTAAATTAATAGACTGAAAGAGTGACCTAGACAATTTTCCTGTATTGGATTTGCAAAAGAGAGTTGTTAAAGCTTTTAAGAAATTTGTGAGAATGGACAAAGAAAAAATTAAAAGAAATCAAGTTGTAGGTGAGGCTTTAAAGATATGTTTATAGATAAGAGATGGGATATAGAAAGAAATTATTATTGTATTTTAAGAGAAGATGATAAGTTAATTTTAATCAAATTAAAAAAAAACAAAACAGGTCACCTAATGACCATTCGAAGTTATGACAGATGCTCCAAAACTACATACAAACTTCTCCTGACTCCTGCTAGACTTTGAAAAGCCAGCTGCCTGGCGACAGTTTCAAAACCAGCTTCCTAAAACCTGCCTTTGCTTAGCCCCTCCCTCTCCCAGAAAGCCACATTTCTTCAATAAAGAAAACAAACAAAAAAGCTGGCTGGGTGTCACAGACTTGTTGATCTTTGTTTCCCCCACCCGCCAATTAGATGCTGAAGCTGAACGTTTTGCCTTTACCCGCCAATCATGATCCCTTTGAAAAATCTCATTTGCTAAATTTAAATCAAAAGATCGGGTGACAAAAGTTACTTTGGCCCTAGGCTGAAGAGTAGAGGAAAGGAAGCAAGCAACCAAGCGAAGAAAATTATTTTGCAGTGGGTGGGTGTAGCATCTGAAGAAAAAATTCAGCAAAATGTGCAGCAAATGGTTCCGCAAAGCAACAGCTGGATCCTAAATGCAGTCAGTCAGTCAGCAAAAAGCCTTTCAAAAGGTTTCCAAACTTTTTGCGGCCTGGTTCCCTTTAGGACTCGGCTTCTGCTGCACATGATGACCCTTTGATGCATGCAATGTCATAAAACAGAAAAAAGCACCAGAATTAAAAAACCTCAAAAGTGATTTTAAGAAACAAGACGAACTGTATAAAAAATTATTAGATCAATTAAAATAAAGTTATGAAAAAGGCCTAGGGCAAAGTGGAAAGATTTTAATTATGATTTTTTTTTTAAATGGAGGCTTGTCTAACCTCCAAGGATTACCAATATTACTGACACCAGTGCCTAGAACTCCTACTTCGCACTGTTTCAAACTGGGTATCAGCAGTGCCATTAGCTATTATATTCTCTGTAGATTATAAAAAACAAAATAGGCCAAAAATAAAACAGGGTATTCCTTGTACAGCTTGGTGTTTAACTTTTAGACCCATTTAAGGCAACACAAATACCCTGCTTAGTAGTTAACTAGGGCAGATTTTTCAGGATAGGCATTACAAGTAAGGAATCCACTGAAGCTACTGTACAGTATAGCATTCTAAGTAGAGCCCCACCTATAATGCATTACATCAGGGGTGTCAAACTCACGTCGTCACATGATATATCGGGACTTTTTTCCCCTTCACTAAACCAGATGTGGGCGTGGCCAGCACATGAGGTGGGCTGGGAATTTGACAGCATTACATAATCCAATCCTGAAGTCATCAATGCATGTTTTTTTTCTGACAAGGTTACTTATATCCTGCAAAACCTTTAGTTGTACAAACTAAACTTGTAATAGGTATTTTTGACCACTAGGACTACTTGAGCCTCCAATGACAAATAAAAAACAACCTACTCCTGAATATGAACCTACAGTGGATGCAAAAAGTCTACACACCCCTGTTAAAACACCAGAGATGTAAAAAAAAAAAAAAAAACCCAGACCAAATTAAATCACTTCAGAATTTCCCCCCCACCTTTAATGTAACGTATAACATGTACAATTGTACATTTCAATTGAAAAACAAACCGAAACCTTTCAGGGGGAAATAACAATAAGAAACAGACAATAACATGGTTGCCTAAGTATCCACACCATCTTATTAGTAGGGATATGGCTGTCTTCAGAATTAACCATAGCCAATCATATTCAAACGGATGTTAAATAATAATCAGAACACACCTGCCATCAATCAAAGTGACTCTGATTAAGCCTATATAAAGTTCAGCTGTTCAAGTAGGATTTTTCTGACATTTATTCAGTTGCCTCTTGCAAAAGCCATGATCTACAAAGAGCTTACAAAACATAAAAGGGATCACGTTGTTGGAAGGGATCACTTGGGAGAAGAATACAAAACAATTTCCAAGGCGTTGGATATACCATGGAACACAATGAAGACAGTCATCAACAAGTGGAGAAAATATGGCACATGAGTTACATGACCAAGAACTGAATGTCCCTCCAAAGCTGATGAAAAAACAAGAAGAAAAAGAGTCTGAGAGGCTGCCCAGAGGCCTACAGCAACGTTAAAGGAGCTGCAGGAATTTCTAGCAAGTATTGGTTTTGTACTACATGTGACAATGATCTCCCATATTCTTCATAGATCTGGACTGTGCAGTAGGGATCAAGGATGAAGCCTTTTCTTACAAAGAAAAATAGCCAAGCCCGGCTTCGTTTTGCAAAAAGTTACATCAAGTCTGACAAAAGCATGCAGGAAAATGT